AAAAATATTGCTTAATACTTTTTGGAGAACATATGTTTAAAGAGTAGGGAAAGATTTTGGATTTATATGTTGAATATTTTATTAAGTGAACGTGTAGTTGAAAATGAGTATAAAAATTAAATTAATTTAAAATAAATGATAGCAAACAAGGGCTTAGAAACAATTAATGAACAATCATTTAATTAGCTCAATAATTTAACGTTGTCATTATACCTAATATAATTTTCGTCAAACAGGTGACAATTTTCGTCAAGTGGAGTAACGGTAGATTTGACTCTTTTGATGGACGAATAATCATTTGAATAGAACTAGGGACAAGCTTAAAATCAACTTGTTTCATAGTATTCAATATTCATATAAGAATACTTCGCGCGACACCTAGATTTATAGAAATCCTTAATAGGAATGTAATTGAGATAGTGCCAACATAATTAAATTAATTGGTCAACCAATGAAAATTAGCCATTATAGAGGAGCCATTCATCGGTAACAGAATTCTATTCATAAAGGAGCAGGCACCCTGCCAATAGGAAGGCGCCACATGCCCCCAGTTTGGTCAGAATTCTGTCCAAGTAGAATCGTAAGTTTCCTATGTACAATCACCGTCCAAATATTATAGGGTCAGGATTCTCCCTTCTGATTGGTCCAAGAATTCAATTAAACAGCGAATTTAACTGCCCCAGTTCTCCGTCCAAACCCTAATTGGCTACTTTCGTCAAATCATTGGGACCCAAATTATTGTCTTATTTATTCAATTTTTCGCTCTTAGTTTGTTTTGTATTATCCACGTACATAAACATATATCCGACAAATCGTACATTGATAATAATTGAGAGAAGCGAAGAGATTTGATTTTGAAGTAAGAAAAAGCCGTTTTCGAGTTGTCACAAAGCAATGGGTCTCTGGGAAGCTTTTCTCAATTGGCTTAGAAGGTTACCTCCTTCGGCCCTTTTCTTTGATAATATATTCGATATATGTGTAAGGGTTTTGTTTATTGGTGGTGAATTTTATGATTTACTAAATATTTCTTTTGGTTCACTTTATTGTTATGGAATTTAGGTCTCTTACTGATGAATAGTGGTGCTTCTTGGAATTTTTGTTATGCAAGTTTATGTTCTTCTAGAATCTGTTTGTTTGTGAATGGTATTATTTGCAGACTGCCATTATATAATATAGTTTTGGGCTGAAATCAAATAAAAGTTAAAGTTTCAGGTAATCTTGTTGTGTTGGTGGGAAAGGAGAGAAACTTCTGTGGGTGTGTGGTGGGCCACCTGTTGAGATGGCGCACCCTGATAGTCGTGGTGCGATCGAAGTTTCTTTCGTGTGAAAGGGATATCATAATTGATTTGATTGAATTGTAATTGAGATGGAGAATAAAGGAATCAGATCACTTGAACTGAACATTTTGGATTATCTATGTTGGAGTTAAATCTTTATTTCTTCTATAAGATTTAGTATTTGGTATATACCCTCTGCACTCAAGGATGATCTAAATTATGAAAAAAATTTGACTCCATAATTGTTTTTCGTTCGCACTTAATAATTTCTTGAATATTCACAACTACCTTATTGCTACCTACAATTGAGATCTGTTCTACGCCAATATTGAAATTCACCAAATCTGTTATCATAATGCCTTAAAGTTTGGCTTGTGCACATGCAAATTCTCGTATATTGTTGCAAAAGAGAAGTGACATATACGGCCGATTGTGATGTATCACTCATCTCTCTATGGAAGGGTATTAAATGCACTTGGCAGTAACTTTTTCATAATATACTTCCATCATTAAACTGTGAAAAGATAATGTTATGGTGTTTCTGTTTGATGAACTGCACTCACAAAAAAAGAAATATTTACATTGTTGGGCTCAATGGAGCAAAATGTGCTGTTGACCCTAGCCCTCGGGGAAGTGGTTTAGGTAAGGACTTTAGAATCCGATGCGCTCACCCAGCGAGAAAGGCCCTGATGTGCATTTAAGTGGTTTTTCCTTTTCACGGTTAAATTATTTCAAATTGACTGAAATGACGTTGTTTTTGCATGTTTACAGCATTTTCTTCAAGCAAGAGATGGAGATAACTTTGATCGGTCTTCAAAATGCTGGGAAAACTTCACTTGTAAATGTCATTGCTGTAAGTAAATCCACGTGTTCATTACCTATCATTCCATAAGCTCGTGAATTCTTTCTTGAACTTTTCATTAATTTGGGCAAAAAGCTTTTGCATTTACTTTGTTCTTATTCTCTTAGACTGGTGGATATTGTGATGATATGATCCCTACAGTAAGTTTTCTTCTTAAAATCCCTTCCAGCCTCTATTTTAGCTTATTGTTGATTATATCCGGGGATATCGAGGCATTTAATGGTATTTATTACGAATTTAATTCTTCAGGTAGGATTTAATATGCGCAAGGTGACTAAAGGGAATGTCACAATAAAGTTGTGGGATCTTGGAGGTCAACCTAGATTTCGGAGTATGTGGGAACGATACTGTCGTGCAGTTTCTGTCATTGTGTATGATGCTACCTCTGACTAAAGACTACATGGTTTACCCCCAAAATTACCTTCATGACAAGCTAATTAGTGTTTTGTAACTTGATTTGTTACAGTTACGTTGTTGATCTTGCCGATCATGAAAACATCAGCGTCTCCCAACGTGAACTCCACGATCTGCTGAGTAAACCAGCACTCAGTGGTATTCCTTTGCTGGTATTAGGGAACAAAATTGACAAGGCTGAAGCCATATCTAAGAATGGATTGAGTCATCAAATGTAAGTAGAAAAATGCACATTTGTGTCTGATTGCAAGTTTGTTTCTCTGGCTTCTGCATATGACATTTATTTACAGATTACTCTGTGTGGTGCAGGGATTTGAAATCTATAACTGATAGAGAGGTGTGCTGCTTTATGATTTCGTGCAAGAATTCGACCAATATCGACCAGGTCATTAATTGGCTAGTTAAGCATTCTAAATCGAAGCGCTAAGGATGGGGATCTATACTCTAATTTGTGTTATAAAATTTTTAAGAGATGATTTTCCAGATTGATTTACTGCTTTCTTCAGAGTTGTCTACCTAGTAAATTACTTTTACAGAAATTATGTAGGGTAATTACCACTACAAAAATTGTTAGTTATACCACTATTTTTTTATTTACTTAAATAACCTTAAATAAAATTACATAAGTGGGTTTTTAATATATTCATCACATAAAACAATTTATTCTTTCACCATAATTGTAAAACCTTTAAAAATTTATCTTCTTCCCCAATCCCTACTCCAACCCCCAACCTCAAAACTTCGTCTTCCAATTAAGTTTGGCCATTAAAGAAATTAAAGCCCTGTTTGGAAGTGATTTTTCATCCAAAAAAATTGATTTTTTGATTGTTATCTCACTATTTCAGCCGTAATTTTTGTCTTCTCTCACAGGTGGCCCACACTTTTCTCCTAATGGTCAAAAAATCAATTATCAAAATCACTACCGAACAGATCCTAAATCTCTCTCATCGAAATTAAATCGATTCCATGAAAGAATAACGATTAAAAAATTATGTTTCAATGATGAAATTGATAGAATTTATTCTCATCCACAACCCTAGCAACATAAATTTTTGAACAAAACATAAAAGTCTATTTAAAATATCATGTTAGAATTTTTTTCATAAAGATCCATACAAAAAAATGGAGCTTCTAGTACTGCAAGAATTAGCTTAAATCATATCAATTTACTTCCATGAGAGACAGAAAGATGTTCCCAAAAAAAAAAAAAAAAAAAAAAAAAAAAAAAAAAAAGAAAAAAAAAAAAAAAAAAAAAAGAAAAAAAAAAAATTTCCAAAAAAAAAAAAAAAAAAAAAAAGAAGAAGAAAAAGAAGATAAAATAAAAGAAAATAAAAGAAAAAGAAATGGATGAAGAATTGGGAAAAACTCCCAGTAATTTTCATAATTTCAGCACTCTTAAACTGCCATCTAGACAAGGGGTAAGGGATATAGAGGGAACATGGGATTAGGGGATGTTGAAGTGGAGAACCAAGAGTATGGGTGTATTGATTCACATGTGAGGAGATTTTCAGGGGCTTTAGATTTTGCGAAACTAAGAGGATGAATGATCTGTGTAATGACTTTTGATTTTCAATGCTTTATTAAATCATTTTGTAGTATCAGAACATTTTATAGGAATTCTATGTGGGCAATTTTTGTTTTTATTCTGGAGTTTTCATTGATACTATGACATGCTATTTCATTATGTCTTGAAATGTTACTTTGGTTTATTCAAATACACAAACACACACATATGATAAGTACACCACAATATTATATTATGTTTTTGTTTTTTCATTTTTTTATTGAATTAGAAGTATAATTGTAAATTTATTGTGGTGTGTTAATTAAAAATATATTTTAATTGTGGTTTGATTATAATGTGGTGTAGTAATTAAAATTTGTAGTGGAAATAATTACCCAATTATGTATTTCATTGCCTTTCTGAATTCTGGTAAGTGCACTTCACGTGCTCAAGGGAGTTTAAAAGTTATACAAGGTGCTAAAACAAAGGTTGGGAACATATTTGTACTTATTATTACTTTTTTACGTCGTGGGTGTTCGGATCAACTTACGCGTACCTTCACTAATTTTATGGAGTCCTGAAATATAAAATTGAGTACTCACCTCAATAGTACTGAGAGGATTCGAACTGGTAATCATTGAAGAGCAAACTCAAGGTTTGGCCACTGAACTACCCATAGGCTCGGGACATATTTGTACTTATTACAAAAGTCAAGGACATATTTGTACTTATCACAAAGGTTAGGGACACAAGCTGAAATTTCATTTTTAAATATAGGGTAAATTGCAAAATCCGTCCATAACCAAGTAGGGATCTTGTCCCTTAAAACATTTTTTGGGAGCTTTTTGTTATCAACCTTCGAGAGATTAGCAAACTTGGTCCCGATAGATGGTTTTCATCCAATATGTTAAATTTGTGCTAAATGGCAATATCGTTGTTTAAATTATTAAATGAAAGAACCACCTAAAAAGAAAAGATAAGACAGAATGAAAAAAATAAGCAAAAGAGATAAAAATGACAAAAATCGTCTTGCCAACACCATCACCATTCAACATCGCATTTGTACCTACAACAAACCCCCTAATTTATTCATTGGTGAGAAAAGGGGATAAAATATAAAATATAAATTACAACAAATGCCCTAATTTATATTGATGGTGCGATATAAACTCGGAGGGGTATAGGGTGTTTGTCGGCTATAGCTAGTCGAAAGCCAATTGTGCTATATGTGAAAAATCGTAACTTACAAATTTGTTTATCAATAGATGATATAGCAAGATTTGATTAAATCAAAATCTCACCAACCAAATAAAAAAAAAAAAAAAAATCCTTCATTTTTTTTTTGCCATTAATCCACATTGCACAAGCACAGCCGTTTAAGTGGAAACAGATCTTGACAATTAAAATTTAATTTTTCGTCACTTCATCAATATGTAAAAGAATTTGTAATTAGTGATGTACAACAAGTATTTTTCGTCGAGAATCCCCTGATTTCCATGTAATGGAATATGGGAGACTTTATTTTCCTTTTTGCTCTTTTGCTTATTTTTAATCTTCTTGTGTTACATTTATATAATTTTGTTACTTTATTTTATTTTGTTATTTAATTTAAAGAACATGATCGTCATTTTGCATAAATTTCATGAAACTGTTCATAATACCAAGTCTGCTAAATTTTCAATGAAAGAGCTAGGGACAAGATTGCTACTTTGGGAACAGGTTAGGGACTATTTGCAATTCAGGCACTTTATGGGGGAGCTGCACATCTTCTAAAACGACGTCACAGCAGCATTTACAATAGGACGAAACTGTCAAAATTGCCCAATAGCCTCATCTCTTTCCCGTTAGAACCCTAAACCCAGAAGTTCCCATCTTCACTCACTGCAAATGCCACTGAAATCGTAACTTTAAAATCCTCAATATAATCACCAAAATGCCATCCATGATTTCATATATCCCTTCCAGATATCTGGCTCGAACCCTTTTCTCTATGACCCGGACTTTCAGCACCGGTATCGAGACCCAGAACCGAACCGAAAAGCTTGAACGAATAGCAGATGAGCTTTTGAGTCTCAACAAGATAGAGCGCTTCGATTACGCAATCCTCTTAAGGCACAAAATGGGTCTGAACCGGTTCGGCCCGGCAGCTTCCGGAGCCGGTCTACAGTCCACGTCAGCAGCAGGCGGCTCAGCATCCGCGGCTGCGCCACAGGCCGTCAAAGAGAAAACAGCGTTTGATGTGAAATTGGAGAAATTTGATGCATCGGCGAAGCTTAAGGTGATTAAGGAAATTAGGGCGTTTACCGATTTGGGTCTCAAGGAAGCTAAGGATCTGGTGGAGAAAGCACCGGTGGTGGTTAAGAAAGGGATGCCGAAAGATGAGGCTGAGAAGATAGTGGAGAAGCTCAAGGAAGTCGGTGCTACTGTAGTATTGGAATGAACGAATGTTTACTTGTTTTGGTAATGTAGAATTATATGAATTTTTGATTGATATATGATAAATGTTTTTTGAGTGTTCATTATTGATTTTCAATAATTGACAACATATTTTCGGATTAATTTGAAACATTAGCAGTCAGATTTACATTTGCAATTGAAGTGAAATATTAGATTTTCATTTGTTGAAATGGTGTGATCATCTGGAGGATTTAATTCCTGATCGAATCATGAATTTTGGGGCAAATGCATTTTTTATTTTCAGTTGTAGTTTCTTGGTATCAGGTGATTTTGTACAGTCAACATGGCATTAATTTTCTCCCCTGCACATGAAATTAATCTTTTTACCAAACAATATGTATATGGTGAATAATTAGTAAACGATAAGGCCATTGGAATGTTAAGCATAGACAAGCTCCAATAGTTCTTGGAGCTGAAGAAGCTAACTGCAAGGACCCCCAAGTTTTGTTCATAGCTCCCAATGTCGTCTCCTCAGTGAGCAGATTTCTGCAGATTATGATTTTCCTATGGAAAATTTTTGTTGCATTCGTGTTAATCATACGTTGCTCAATCTGTTAAGAGGTCTAAATTTAGAAGCTTGGCCATGTCAACTTTCGACCCATCCCAATAGCCATCTTGGTGTGGATAATTCAGTAAATTATGTCTTTTACTTCTCCATAATTCCATTGCTTTTCTGGTGGCATTAGAAACTAAGTAAAAGGTCTTATGATCTCTAAGTGGGTTTTTCTTCCTCCCGCCATCCTGGTGGAATTCTAATTCCACGAGGCGTTATTGATTAGAGTGTATGCTGAGGCACTGCAAAAATCTTGAGTGTGGAAAAAGTCCTATTGGGAAGTTTGAAGATGTCATTGCTAACAAGCCATGTAATTCACCAGTCTGGGAAATGGATAGAGGGCAAGGAGGATGAATTGGATGAGAAAAGATGAGGAAAGCAGAAAGATTAGGTCGAAACTGAGGGATGTTCTACTACAGAAGTAACCAATACATGTAGAAGAGAGTGATTATCCAGCATCATAGCAAGTTGGGGCATTTACACCTTTGGAATCCCTTGATATTGAAATAACACTACTGCTTTTGAGTGTGGTGGGACTTTGGTTCAGTACCATGAATTCTTCTTCCCTCCTACTTGTATGCTAATTTTCTCGTATGTGTGTGCAGAAATTGTCGGTTGCTCTTCTTTTCTCGTAAACTGCCTGAACGTTGAGCAGTTGGAAGAACATAAACCAAGCCCCGTTTGGTAGCAATTTTTACCCCAAAAAATTGGTTTTTTGACAGTTATTTCATTATTCCGACTGTCATTTTTGACTTCTTCACTCACAGTTGAAATCCATTTTTCTATCTAACAGTAAAAAATCAATTTTTATAATCACTACCGAACATATATATTAACTCTAAGCATTCCTAAATGAATGAAACTTCTCAATTCAGCATAAGCTCAAATGTGCTTGACTAGAGAAAGGATTGCCATACAACAAAATGTTCAGATTCATAATTACATCCCTTATTCCATTCCTAAAGAAGTTCATCTCAGCAGAAAGCCTTTGCATTCTTGCGACCCGGGATTCTGCACATACATGAAAATATGCTGTCAAAGTGAAAAATATGATTTGCAGATTCTTAGGTATTAAGAAAGTAGCCTAAATGAATTTGTGCAATGATGGCCTGCTACAGAATCTTCATTGGAAAATTTGTTAGAAAATACTAAATATTAATACAGAATGATGGTGAAGGTTTGGAAACAGAAAATAACTAAATATCATATTTGACATAGTTGATGAGTTGAGATCTGTTAAGCTATCAATAATTTGCACTTGGGATTCATGGAAGTAAAAATTTGATTCTGTGTTACCTTCTTTGTGAGAGCACTTTTAGCCATCCTTAATATGAAAGAAATGTTACTTTTAGTAACTTTCTATTTCCCAACAGGTTTGGATAATTTACTTTTAATTAAAAAAAAGTTATTTTAAAACTAATTCTTACCTTGTCAAAGTAAGTAACATATTTCTAACTTTGACGAGTGAACATCTCTTTTTTCGTGTTCTCTCTACACTCATATCCACAAACTCATTGATCTCACCTAAAAGAGGGGCAAAAATGTAATGGTTAGTAGTAGAAAGATAATGTAGCATTTCAAAGAAACTCTCAAAAGAATCACCAATTTTGTATTCCATAACATGCATGATTTGAATTCTAACATTTAATCTTCTATGACACCCCCCCCCCCCCACACCCACTCTTCTAGCTACCGTCACAGTCATTAAATTTGTAGCCAACTTCCTTTCAAAGTGTAAAAATTGTTACATCAGAATTTGAAAGATTTACAATGACAACAATAGAAAAGAAATTATAGACAAAAACCTGAAAACTAGAAGTTGAAATCTGGGAAATGAGGCATACATGACAACATCCACAAAGAAATAAACTTAATGGACTGGGAAATGTGGCATATATGACAACATAATTGGAGTCCTACCTTTAAGTTGTTGACACCTCACTAAAATTTTTAGTTGTCATAATTTTAATCCTAACATGTAAAAATAATATTATTTGTATTTAGTGAGGTGTCAAAATTTTAGTGGTGGAACAGTCAATGAAACAGTTGAGTCAGGATAGCAGAGGGGTACAATGCATCCACCATTAATTACATTTGTATCAATATTTATCATGCTACATTGAAGTTACGTCCAAATTAAAACATCCAAAACATTCCTATTTTATAGGACAGGGAAATGGAATAGAAAGGCATCTTGAAACTTCAAGATTTTCAACAAAACCAATTTTGTTTTGAATGCTTCTTAATAAAATGAAAATCAATATCAACAATATTTATCATCAATATCTTTAGACAGAGCCGGCCCTACACCAAAGCCACTAAGGGAAGGCAATGGCCTGGGGCCTCCAATGTTAGGGTGCCACTAGAAAAATGTATCATTTATAACATTATTTGCTTATCTAATTATGTTTTACATGTAAATCATAGCCCACGCCCTACAAGTTACTCATCCGGCCTCAAATTCAATCTTGAAGAAACCGTTCATCGACCAATTATAAAGTCATGGGCACTTTCAATGTTGTGGAATTTGTGTATTTGTTTATTTTCAGTAAGTAGACTATGTTTTGTAAGTTTATGTTGGATGAATTTTGTGAATAGTGACGCTGAAATAAGTATAATGATGGTGACAAAGCCGAGGCAAGAGTTGGACTCTTTGTCCTTAAGTCGAATTTGCCCCGCAACGGTGCCTACGGATTTCGGCAATCGACTCCCAAGATACAACGGCTACACTTGTGTTTGTAGCACTCCAAAACACAAGTACAACGAACCAATTTAGGCTTATGTACTCCAAGAATGAAATGAAAGAAAATCAAAATAAACGAAATGATTTTGATTTTGGATAGAAGAGAGGATGAGAAACGTTTTGCATATCAAACTGTGAGGAATAGGACACCCAAAGGGTCCTATTTATAGACCATGAAGGGGTGTGGACGAAATGGTTGAGACCAAACCATGCACCATTTCCAAACAATGCATATTTATGAAAAGGTGTCTATTCACTAATGGTTGAGGTCTTTTTCGTAATTTCTCATTCATCCGATATTGATTTTCGAAATGCCAAATATACCCTTCAATACATGCAGAGAAATCAGGTCGATCCCCGTTTGTGCGCCCCGAAGCGGCGAAGTGGCAAACAATTTTGCCTAAACGGATTGAGTCGAGCTTTTGAGTATTTGGCCGAATTCGATACGAACTTTAATCGATTTTCAATTCTCAATTTATACATAAGCCTAAATTGGTTTGTTGTACTTGTGTTTTGGAGTGCTACAAACACAAGTGTAGCCGTTGTATCTTGGGAGTCGATTGCCGAAATCCGTA